TTGGTAAAAGCTACGCCTCATCAGAAAACAATCACTCAGTGAAAAGGTCTTAAATTTGATCAACCTGGGTGTAATTCTCTCCCTATAGGGCTATAGAAAAAGGACAAAGCATAAAGATCGTTTTGGGCTGTCAAAAGGAGGCCAAAATTAACCCATGATGATCATGTCCGAAAGTAAACTGTGTAAATCATGGTTTTTAAAACTGGACTTGATCTGAAAAATCGAAAAAATCAGTCACTTGATTGATTCTATTTCACTCTAAAACTATTTTTTAGCTAAAAACCGTTGATTTAGTCAGTGAACTGCTAGTTCAGGTGGTCGAATTGTCGATTTAGATGACAATTTTGGCCCTTATTTATTTATTTTTTCGTTCAAACCAGATAGTTGGATCCTTCAACCTGAGATGAGAACTGATACTCGGAATGATTCCCTGTCCGGTCCAATTTTAAAAACCTCGTTGTAAATAAATATTTTGGTAATCCTGAATTTTATTAAGCGACAAAAGAAGCGGTGCATGGTTCAATTTGATCTTCATGGCCTAATCTTATAATGCGTTGTATTGTTATGAAGCTGGACAGTCGAATAGGATTGGGATCAAACTTTAAGAAGTTGAATATAATCAGTTACTAATTTAAATCAGATGAAACATGGGGTTTGGCCAGACTGAAACAACGGTCAAATTGGTGTGTAGTAGATCCATTTAAAGCCCATTACCCAATTTTGAATCCAGCTATCTAGGGTCTTGAAATTTCTGACCCATTTTTTTTCTAGAGTCTCAGTTTGGAAGGAGTATAAATGCAAATATGTATCGTGTAAATACATACAAAATATACGGTTTTATACTCTACATATTTGCATTTGTACTCCTTCCAAACTGAGTCTCAACTGCAAAATTTGCTTCTTTAAGAACATGCATGTATGTGATATTGCTGTTGACTCTGTTTAACACTCTGATATGGTTGATGATGTTCCATGCAGGTTCTACACGGTCCTTAAGACTATCAATAATAAATTTTGAGTCACCCTCAATAATAAACCTAATAATGGCTTGCTGGCAACTTTATGGGCTACCACCGCAGCCCATGTTTCAGCTTCATTAATGGAACAAACTCCAATTTCTCTACAAGAGATCTAAGATGTTTTGCCATTTCATTTCACATGATTACCCCTATAGCACATTTTGAAGCATCAAATTTGATTTTAAAGGTTCCATAATCAGGTTTTTTCCAACCAATGGCATTCTTTTTGATAATAGTCTCTAGGGTGGTGTACCGAAGTGGTTTTATTGTGGAATATTTTTTTTTCATTCCTTCCGTTCCATATACTCCATAGAGTAAAACTTGCCAACTCCACAATATTTGTAGTTCTGGTTTCATTGTCTAACATAATTCAATCCCACCATACAGTAATTGACTCATTCTACCCTAGAGAGGGTACCACATTCCTCAATTCCATCCACACATTAACTGATTTCTCACACTGCAGGAATAAATGCTTGGAATCTTCCCTCATTCCATAGAAGGGGCAATCCGGCTCATTCCTAATTCCCCGATTTTTTAGTCTATCTCTAGTTAGGATTTTTCCCATTAACACTATATAAATGAAGTGAATGACTTTTGGAGGGCATCTTAGTTTCCAAATGTTTTGGATTCTTTTTTTTCCGTGATTGAACCATCATTTTCTTCCTCTAGAAGTTTATAGGTCGATTTTATAGAAAAACTACCTTTTAGATCCGGCCTCCATATCATTTTGTCATTTCTATCTTGTTAGGGATTGGAATGGTTTTGATCTTTTCCCATAAGCTATTGGGGATCACTTCTAGAATGCTTTCCCCATTCCATGCTTATCCCTAATAAAATCACTAACTCTTTGGTTTTGGTTTGGATTAATATGTAAGAGAACACCAACAGGGGAGTTCCCAACCCAAACTATCCATCCTATTCCAAGCCCAAGAACAGTTCTTTTTGGTTGTAGCCTGCTAGAAATTTCCAAATTTTAGATATTTGCTTTGAAAAAGTTTTAACCCAAAAGTGTTCTGGTCGGGTCAATATTCTCCAACCCAACTTTGCCAAGCTTACCAAACTCCCATTGTAATTTCTTTAAGCCCCATCCTCCATTATTCCTATTTTTACAAATTATATTCAAATTTACTAAATTGAAACTATTTTTCTCATTCTTCTTCCATAGGAATTCTCTTTGTTTTTTATCTCAATCTTCTACCATATTCTTTAGAATTTTAAACACTCTCTTTATATATTGAGGCATCATTGAGATAGAAGCTTTTAGTAAAGTAACTCTACTAGCTAATGAGAGTGTTTTCTTCCATCCTACCAGTTTATTGTTTACATTCTCCCATGTTCTCTTAATAGTCTTGATGCGTATAGATTACACTAGCAAGTGAAATAACCGATCAAATAATATAATGATGAGTAGAGTATCGTTCTCACGGAGATTGATCCAACAACTAATAGTATTGAATCAACCTTTTGTTATCTGATAAGCCGAAATATTAAACAAAGAAAAACCCTAACTCCTAATTAACAAACTACCTTAAACAGTTTCAGATCAGATCACCATTAATGATGAGAAGAATACTGCATGCAAGAAACTAGCAGAACCGGTTCAACAATGAAATCATTAAGTAGTCCAACCGAAGTGAATTCAGTCTTGCGTTGGCGAAATCCTAATTGTATGAGCAGCCTCTCTCGAGCACAGCCCACTCCATCTATGAGCAACAATTCCCATATCTCTATCAGAAATTTAATCGCCATAAATGCATTAAGAACAAAGAGTCGATAAAAATTTATTCTAGTTGAAAGAATGCCAACGAATCATGCAAATTATCTCTAAGATGCATTCAATCCGTTTTCTTGATTAGTTGATCTGATTACCTAAACACTTTCTCAAGCAATTCAAGCAATCCAAGAAACAAGAATAATTCGGCCAAGATTATTCTAATAATCGAAAACCCTAATCAAGAAATCCCAAGAATAAATCACAATCAATCGGATCTGCTAAAATATTAATTACATATCAGATTTGAAGTCCATCATGGTTCGCATAAAAGAAAGAAAGAAAGAAAGATTCAATAAAGAAAAATCATGGAACCCTAATCGAATCTAGGTTGCCAAATTGCAGAATCAAAGAAGAAGACAACCTAAGATTTCTACATCAATCTTCAATCTCCTCTTCAATTTGCATTCAACAGCCTTCTCTCTTCTCTWGCAGTTCTTCTTCTTCTTTGGTTTTGTCTTCAAGGATCCGAACCCTAATTCCTTCTTTTTTTTTTTCTTTTTGTACTCTTCTTTTCAGCCTCCCCCTTCTCTAAAGTCAACCGCCTTTTTGGAGCCTCCCCTAGGGCTGCAGTTGGGCTGCTGTTCTTAATGGGCCGAACTGCTATTGGGCTGTCCTCCTTGATGGGCCGAACTGCTATTCTCCCATAAAGTTCCAGTTGGACTGCAGTTGGGCCTCTCTCCTTGGTGGCTTTAGTGCTTCCCATGGGGTTTCAGCTGGGCTTTTCTTTTTGATGGGCCGAAGTATGCTCTCTTCACCCTAGATTGTCCCAAACTCCTAGTTTCCTGCAATTCTGCTCAATTAGGGTAAAAACCATTGCAAAACATCATTAAAACCATGTATACAACAATAAAAATGATGTATAGCATGCGCACACATCAAACTCCCCCACACTTAAGCTTTTGTTTGTCCTCAAGCAAAGATATTACTCATAAACTGATCATTCCCTAGATTATTTTCATCTACCGAATGAATTTTAGGACGAGAATACATTAAGTGGTCGGGAAACTTGCATAAACATTATGATTCATCCCCATGATTGGTCACTCTTACCACATACATGAGAACAAAGGAAGGGAGAACATGAGATTCTTCATGCTCCAGCACTCAATTCCGTTCAATATGTATAGCAGCTCCTTGACCGCCATAATTAATCATCACCTCGAGCTTGGTCTCAAATCTGTCAATGCATTAAATTGAATTTCCAACTATGTTTTTGTCCCCTTGAACCTCAGCCGTCACCGAGTTATTTTCTTTATTTTGTTTCTCTTTTTTTTTGTGTGTGAGTGCATTTTATGCTCCATCTCACACGGGTCACAGGCTAAAGGCAGATGACAATACTCATATTCCAAGTTGCTAGTTTTACTATTCAACTTGGAATTGCGGAGTTGGGACTGAACTCATATCATGAACCGCTAGTTTTACTATTCAGTTCATGACAACGGAGTAATTCAGATTTTGTCCCTTTCTCTTCTCTTTTCTCTCTTTTTTTTTTCTGAATCAATTGTTAAAGTTCATGCATTAACAGTCCATGATGCACTAATAACTCGAATGATCATTAAGATTTCAATCAAGTGCACTATACACATGAGTAAAATTAGTGCTAGTCATGATGAAAGTCCTATTTGACTTCCTCATCCTCATGTATTGTGATAAAAATGGATAATTCACAAGAACAAATTCTAGCACTTATAGTGATTTCCTTCGACTTCATCGTATTCCCTCCTAGAATTCACCTTATAAACAACAATAATCTTGAGGGAATTTCCAGTTTATGCAGCCTATCAATGCATTTATGTATTAGGGTGATTGAGGTGCAAAGCTATAGCCTCCCCCACACTTATCATGAACATTGCCCTAAATGTTCATATAAAGAAAACGCAAGGATGAATTCAGCAATGTGAGTAGTGGGACTTCAAGCATTTCAAGGGGTTTAGAGAACTTTCTTGAAGAGCATTCTGAAATCTGGAATGACTCCTTCGTTTGGACCCTCTAGCTGCTAAGATCAAAAGAAACTAGAAGCAGAGAATGAGAAACACTAGGTGTAATCAGCAATCTACGAAATTCAAATCCTAGAAAAAAAAAAACTTAAATGATATAGAAAAAGAAAAACAGAAAAACAAATAAAAATAAGAACTACTTATCAGCATTGGGTTGCCTCCCAATAAGCGCTTGTTTTCCGTCTAAAGCTCGACATTCCAGTGGAATCAATGAACATCTAGGTACACAGTTGATGGGGTAGGCAATGCTCCATCCGCTATGTATGGTTTGAGGCGCTGACCGTTGACCTGAAAACATCCACCAACCGCATAATCAATGACATCTATCATATAACATGAATCATCACTAGAAGATGCATGTTTCATAGTATCAGGCATTTTAAAAGTTACTTCATCATCTTGAATCCTAAGGCTGAGTTGTCCTTGTTGGACATCAACTGTTGCCTTTCCTGTAGCTAGGAAGGGTCACCTTAGAATAAGTGGGACGTCAACATCCTCTTCCATGTCTAACACTATGAAGTCCATGGGAAAAATGAATTTGTCAACCTTAACAAGCACATCTTCTATGATTCCCCTAGGATGCTTGATGGACTTATCAGCTAATTGCAATGCAACTCTAGTCGGTTGGGGTTCACCCAACCCTAATTTCTTAAAAATCGAATAGGGCATCAGATTTATACTAGCTCCTAAGTCACACAATGCCTTGTTAATTTTCAAACTACCTATAGTGCAAGGAATAGTGAAACTCCCTGGATCTTTCAGTTTCTGAGGCAGCTTGTTGAGGAGGATTGCTGAGCATTCTTCATTCAGTGCAACTGTAGCCACATCTCCTAGTTTCCTTTTGTTTGCCAATATCTCCTTCAGAAACTTTGCATAGTGTGGCATCTAGGCTAAAGCATCTGCAAAATGAATGTTAATATGTAAACTCTTAAAAATTTCAAGAAACTTACCGAATTCCTTTTCCATTTTGTGTCGCTTAAGCCTATTGGGAAATGGTACTTGCGGTTGTTGATTTGTCTCCTTCTTTGATTCAGACTGCTCTTCCTCTTTCTTTTTGGTTTCTAGGGTTGCACTCACCTTGCCTTCTTCCTTTGCCTTCTTCTCCACCTCTTGCAGCTCCTTACCACTCCTCAAGGTAATGGCTTGCACCTGCTCTCTTGGGTTTGCTTCGGTATTACTAGGTAAAGCGCCTTGGACTCTAGAAGATATCATCTGTGCCAACTGCCCCACTTGAGTTTCCAAGTTCTTGATCGATGCCTCTTGGTTTTGAAATTTCATTTCTGCACTTGCTATGAACTTGGTCATCAGCTCCTCTAGATTGGATTTCTTCTCTGACTGATTGAAATTTTGGGGAAAGGGTTTCACCGCATTTTGATTTTGCCAAGACAGATTGGGGTGATTCCTCCATCCGGGGTTAAATGCACGAGGGTACTGATTGCCTTGCTGCCTTTGCAAATTACCAACAAAATCTACTTGCTCGGGGGACTGCATGAACTGATTTTCAACTTGACATTCGGTGCTGACATGACCTCCCCCACACCATTCACAGAATACAGTCTGAGCATGCATGGCTGCCAACTACATTTCATCTATCTTCTTGCTGAGGGCACCGATTTGTGCAGATAGTGTTGTATAGGTGTCTACATTGTGAAGACCGGACTGTCTCCTAACTTGGGCTCTCTCGGAATGCCATTGGTAGTTGTTTGCAGCCATCTCCTCAATGAGTGCATGGGCAACTTCAGGGATCTTGTTATTAATGGATCCCCCAGCTGCAGCGTCCATAATAGTCTTATTTGCTTCAGTCAACCCATTATAAAATGTCTGAACTTGCAGCCATACGAATGTCCATGATGAGGGACCTTCCTTAGTAATTCTTTGTAACGCTCCCATGACTCATACAATGACTCTCCGTCCTGTTGAGAGAAAGTGGTGATATCATTCCGCATCTTTGCAGTCTTGGATGGAGGGAAATACTTGGATAGGAAGTGGCTGGCCATTTCATCCTAAGTAGTAATCGATCCAGCTGGTAGAGAGTTCAACCAAGTCTTAGCCTTGTCCTTCAATGAGAATGGAAACAATCTGAGCCTCACCGCATCATCACTAACTCCGTTGTGCTTGAATGTGTCACATATTTCCAAGAAGTTGGCGATGTGAGTGTTCGGATCTTCATGAGCCAAGCCACAGAACTGAACTGTATTCTGAATCATCTGAATGATTGCTGGTTTGATTTCAAAATTGTTGGCAGCTATTGCTGGTCTCACAATGCTCGAGGCTGCCCCGGTGAGGGTTGGTTTGGCATAATCCATCATGGTCCTTTGTTCGGCCATCTCTGCACTTTCAGCTCTCCCTTGCTTAGAAGCTCTAAGGCGGCGACAGAGAATTCGTTCAATCTCAGGATCGTAGATGATGCTCTCCTTTTCACTTCTGCGTGTCATAAACTGTACAATTCAAAGTCATAAAGAGACTAATACACAAATATCACAAATATAATGTACAAAATTAAAATCAGATTAACATCAGTTGATGGCTCCTAATATTGTTGTGATAATCCCCAGCAACGGCGCCAAAAACTTGATGCGTATAGATTACACTAGCAAGTGCACTAGCCGATCAAGTAATATAATAATGAGTAGAGTATCGTTCCCACGGGGATTGATCCAACAACTACTAGTACTGAATCAGCCTTTTGTTATCTGATAAACCGAAATACTAAACAAAGAAAAACCCTAACTCCTAATTAGCAAACTACCTTAAGCAGTTTCGGATCAGACCACCAATAATGATGAGAAGAATTACTGCATGCAAGAAACTAGCAGAACCGGTTCAACAGTGAAATCATTAAGCAGCCCAACTGAAGTGAATTCAATCTTGGGTTGGCAAAACCCTAATTGTATAAGCAGCCTCTCTCGAGCACAGCCCACTCCATCTATGAGCAACAATTCCTATATCTCTAACAGAAATTTAATCGCCATAGATGCATTAAGAACAAGGAGTCGATAAAAATTTATTCTAGTTGAAAAAATGCCAACGAATCATGCAAATTATCTCTAAGATGCATTCAATCCGTTTTCTTGATTAGTTGATCTGATTACCTAAACTTTTTCTCAAGCAATTCAAGCAATTCAAGAAACAAGAATAATTTGGCCAAGATTATTCTATTAATCAAAAACCCTAATCAAGAAATCCCAAGAATAAATCACAATCAATCGGATCTGCTAAAATATTAATTACATATCAGATTTGAAGTCCATCATGGTGCACATAAAAGAAAGAAAGAAAGAAAGATTCAATAAAGAAAAATCATGAAACCCTAATGGAATCTAAGTTGCCAAATTGCAGAATCAAAGAAGAAGGCAACCTAAGATTTCTACATCAATCTTCGATCTCCTCTTCAATTTGCATTCAACAGCCTTCTCTCTTCTCTAGCAGTTCTTCTTCTTCTTCTTTGGTTTTGTCTTCAAGGGTCCGAACCCTAATTCCTTATTTTTCTTTTCTTTTTATATTCTTCTTTTCAGCCTCCCCCTTCTCTAAAGTCAACCGCCTTTTTGGAGCCTCCCCTAGGGCTGCAGTTGGGCTGCTGTTCTTAATGGGCCGAACTGTTGTTGGGTTGTGCACTTGCTAGGCGCCAAAAACCTTGAATTTGTCAATTGTATCCGAGTTGCTGCTTTGACTATTGGTCTGAATTAGTCTATTTAGGCCTTTTTGTCATTCTCCCCGAGTGGAAGAAAGTTTTGACTACTCCTACCATTGAGTTCCTTATGCTTGACTTATATTTCTTAAAGAAATAAGCATTCAAACCATCAAGGCCAAGAGCTTTTGAATCCCCCATAGAATTGATTGCATCCCATATTTCTTCTATAGAGACTTCCTTTATTAATGTATCATTTTGTTGTATAGTAATTTTGGGATTAATTTCCTCCAATACTTGGTCGATATTTCCCACATCCCCTCCTTTATATCTCTCCTCATATTTCTCTTTAAATAATTCTTTAATGTCATCTATATTTTCAATCCAATGACCATTGTCATTTTTTATTTTGTAAATCCGGTTTCTGTTTCTCCTTATAAGGGTAGTAGTATGGAAAAATTTTGTTTTTTGTCACCAAATTTTAGCCAATCTGCTCTTGATTTTTTAGCCCAGAATATTTCTTCTAAATACAAGGTTTATAAGTTCTCTTTTTGTAGGATTTTCCACTAAGCTTTGTTGCACTTCTCTTATTTTGTTTATTATTTTATTCTTATTTTCCAATATATTGCTAAACTTTTGCTTATTCCATACCGTTATTTCTCTTATTGTATGGTTTCATTTTTGCAGAAATTGATTGCCCTTAGATCCAACATCCCTTTGTCCCCATGAATTTTCTATTATCTGTTCGAGTTCTAGTTCTGGGTTATTTCCCAACATTATTTCAAATCTCCTATGTACAAGTCCATAGGGGATTCGATTCTCGGTCATAAACTAAACAAAATATCATTCTCTTATTGGAATAAATAACATCAAGATTACACATTTCATTGCTCCAAAAGAGCCATATGCCCCTAGAGTAACCTACAAGATGCACTACATACCATTCATCACAAGATAACCTACTAGCAAAATGTAGTTTCAAACAAAGCCACTATCCCTAGTTTATTGACTCCAACAAGTTTAATAACTCGTCTCTATAGCTTGGGACGACTTGCCCCTCCAACATTCCATGCCAATATTTTCATTTAAGTTGTTTGCATTAGTTACATAGTTTGGGCACATTTCATCCATGCCAGCAGTCTATTTTCCTTTGCTTCGTTTGTCAAAGGTTTGGGCCCTTGGGGAAGACGATACAAGGGAGTCATTCTTATTTTGCTCGTCATTTTGTATTTCCCATTGCTAATCGAGTAATGCAGCCTATTGTATCACCATCTTCCATAAATTCCTCATCATCTTCCTCAATATCTTCAATTTCATCATCCCCCTCATTTCCTTCAAACATTTTTTGTCATTCTCTTCCTTATCCTCGATATGGACATTTTCAATGCCCATTACATTGAAGAAACTCGAGTGTTCTTGATCATCCACAACTGCGAGATGGTTTTTCGTCACCCATTTGAGCTCCGGGTGCAGTGGAACAAGTGAAGTGCAGCCGGATCGTAGCATCTTGACTCTAGCCAATGCTTTGGCTTTAGCTACAATATCTTTTGTTTCTATCTTTGACCCAACTAAACTTTTGACCCCGTCCCTCCTTCCCCAGCTCCAGATTTCTGCTAAATTTGGGTCTCTTTGTAGAGATATTCTTTCTTTTCTTTACTTCATTCCATCCCTCACCTATGATGGTGGGGTAGTTATAAGATTTGTGGCCAAGATAACCGGCATCCTATACACAGATCATTTATGTTCCCATACATGATGTTAATAGTATGTTCTTCCCCTCCTGTAACTGGGATTTCCAGAATTAATGGTCGTTTTAGGTTCACAGTGATACAAACTCTAGGAAAAAAGAGTTCTGTATCTTTTTTCAGTGTTCTCATCCATTTTGAGAACCGACCCTACTTGTCTGAGAACACTTCTCAGTTCTTTCAAGGTCCAACACTCCATAGGAAGGCACGGGAGTCTAACCCATATATTGGCTTCATCAATTATTGTGGCAGTAAGGGAATTGAAACCCATTTTCCACTTCATGAGGACTAGGTATCGACCTCCCACAAACCAAGGCCCCTCTTCAATGGGGAGCTCTCCTCAAATCTGCAACTGATTTTACAATCCAAGGGAAACCAAATGTTCTTTGACCAAGTGGGAATGTATCAAGGCATGTTAGGTGGAGAAACTTCACGTACGTGACTGTGACTGTCATGAAACCGTCCAATTGAAATTCACGGAGCAATATGATCTTCAAAATAAATATTAAATA